AACCATAGGCATGCTGTTATTTTTTGGAAACCCACGAAGAGTAGCAGTGTCAGCAGTCTGCAGATTCAGAAGCCGAGAGCATACTCATTTCTATGTGGAAAAAGACCCTGAACTCTACATTCCATAGAAAATCCTATACTTCAGTGCCTAGATAAAAAGACTGTGGTCAATACCTGGCAAAACCTATGCCACAAATTGAGATTAAAGTCCCACTTTAACTAGGAAGGAAAAAAAAATAAAAAAACTTTTACCAATCTTTCAATAAGGACTAAATGTCAAGTGGAAGTTAGAGTTACACACAGATATTGAGAAACTCAGTAACAGTGGTCTCCATCTCCAGAAAGAGGAAAATAGTGAATTCAAACAGATTATTAGTGCATAGATATGTTTGCAATACCAGAGATATTCTTGATACCAATATTTGAACAGCACCACAGAGAACGAACTAGTACAGTCCCTCAGCAGTATTTTATATGAATGAAGGAGGAAACCTGAGCTTTGCAGTGAATCATAATGCCAGTGTAGCTGAGCTGACTTTGATTTACAACCCCTTTTATTAGGCTACTAGGCTCTGCCTTCTGTATGAGAGACAAAGGTGTGGAAATTACCCGTTCTGTCAGTGATGTGTTCATTAATTACATATTAAACACTAGCAGGAATAAGACTAACTTTGCATGACAATTCCTTGCAATATTCTAGACTACTATCATACTAACCTGTAAAGACTTAAGATAAAATGCAATTTTAAGTATTAAATAAATTATTTTAAATAAAAGATATCAATTTCCCCCACATTAGCCTTTACAGAGACTATCTATTCCCCACTACAATTTTTGGTACTTTTTGAATTAATAAAAGTGCTATCATACAAATAAATAAATACATGCATAAAATCAGATTTAAACACAGATCAAAAAATACTAGCCAAAACCTATATTTATTTCACCACATTTCTGAAAAAAAAAAAAATTCCCTAGTTTATGATAGCACCTTGCTTTCTTCTGCTCTTTTTTACTCATGTTGTAATTCGATTTTCACTAAAGATTTGCTCTTTCACAAAGACTTCTGTGATGTGTAAGGGCACCTTATCTGTTTTTCAGTTTTCTGGAAATAAGCCTATGTTTTTTAAAAAAGGGACAAAAATATTTAGAGGGCCAGAAAAAGTTATTTAACAGTAAGGCATCAAACTGTGTCAATGCCACCACCGAGTAATTTCTGTGAGCAGCCTTTGTCTTCCTTACCCCATCTGGTCTTAAAGTCTAAAACACCTACTCACTGCATCGCAACAAAAATTAGACTAAGCTCCTTGGGGCAGGGTTCTGTATTTCTGTAACAGCTCTGAAGCACCTAACATATATCTGAAAGCTGTAGAGGGAAAGAAAAAGAAAGAAAAAAAAAGACAAGAGTCCAAGCTATTAAAACTTCATTTGTACATTCAGCCATCTGTGGATTCCTTGTCATGTTTTATGGCAGGAGTATTTTGTTCCATGATTCCAAATGAAGGGAAGGAGTCCAACTAATATGACCAATGCCATAGTGGTTATATACTCCATTTACATACTCATCACAGTGTCATATAAGACATGCAAAAACAGCTGTGAAGTCAGCACGCCTTTTGACATGAACTTGTTCCAAATGGGATCAATATACTTTGTATATTTTTGATATTACACTTATTTTATATGTACATTATTATATATATATATATACATACACACACACATACTATCTATTATTATATTTCTCTTAAGAAATGAGCAGGACATATTAGCAGATTAGAATCTTTCATTTGGTGAAAAAACAGCTATTGAGTGGGAAGATGAAGCTCAAGTTCTGTAATATTACTCCCCTGACACTCGTTACCTCCCTTTACTAGTTTTTCTTGTCTCCTCTTGCCTTTACACGTACCTATGTCTCAGCTCCGACATGACATGACATGGCATGACATGGCATGGCATGGCATGACATGATCTCCACAGACCACCCATAGATAACTGTGCTGTCAGAAAACTATCACTTGCAAATTAAATGTTCTTTATTCTATAGACCTTGTGACAAACATCTGTCACATAGAGCACTGGTTTTACTAGGTAAAGAGTTCATACATTTATATGGATGTAAGTTTTAAGCGCGCCATGGGACCCATTCAGGGTCTGATTCAACACTGTTGAAGTTAGTCATTTGGCATTCAAAGATTTGCAAATGGGAATTCCTCAGATAGAGTGAAATAGATGTGCATCCAAAAGCTCATTTCAGAACACATCCCTTGACTTGGTTATGCCTGTTTCTTAATGGGTTGAACTTGAAACAACATGAAGTGCTTTGTCTTGCTGACAACTTTACCTTCCAGTTTAGTTTCAGTGGAAGTTAATAGATCCACGTTTTCCTAAAGCTCAGGCTAAACAAAAGTAAAATTGGTTCTCAAGCTGGTTCCCAAGTTGCTTGAACCACAGAAAAATCATAGGTTTTTTTAACAGAACACTGGTCTCAGTGATTGGTGCAGGTGCTTCTGCATTTCTGGATACTGCAGATTTCTATCTGAAAATTTTGATTCATCCACTTACTTGGAGCAAGGGGTACGGAGAAAGAACAGAGCCCTTTCACACTATTGCAGCTCTGCATAGAGCAGTCCTACTTCCCTGACAGGCCATCTGCATGCTGTGTCTACAAGCACTGGAGCTGTCATGATAATATCCATTGTTTGGGAAGCAGATCCTGATTGCAAGGGATTCTAGCCTTTACAAAAAAGGCTCAGCTATTCCCAGGTCAAGCAAGTAAAATTCAGATGATGCAGCCTTTATGTATCTTTAAATTTCCAACCATTGTGAAATTGTTCTTTGGAAAAGAAAAAAACTTCTGTGTAAGGGAAGAGTCCCTTCCATACACAGAGATAGTCTTCAAATCACAAGATTTGAAGATTTTCCTTACAAATATGCCACAAATCAGTGTGAATTTCTGTGCACCGTAAGTTCACAGACCAGTTATTTTGCTTGACTCAGAGCTGGTTTCTATCTTCCGTTATCAGCAAAGGATACTGCTCTGGGGACTGCATAAAAAGCACTGAAATTACCCTGGTGGAGGGAGAGGGTGATGAAGAAGAAGCATACATGTTACATCAGATGTTAGTCAACTATTCATACATATTTTTAAGCCAGCTTCTCACCTGTTGAATAACTGAATTAAACTAGTGTGAAGAGAGAGAGTTAGCAGATTTTCTCTCTTCAAAATGTTTCACATTCACGACCTTGGTTAGATAATTTAGTCAGCAGACATTATTGTCAGCTTCTTTATGTTATTCATCTAGAACAGCAGATGCCACACTGAGCTGCAGCTCAGCATCAAGGAAAATCTGCCTGTGTGTCAGGGGAGACAGGATAGCCAGAACTCCCATAAGGACTAATTGGTACTCCAGTAAAAAGAGCTATCTTCAGCTCTACTCAAAAAGAATATTCTAGCATTTTTAGCATCCCTTTTGAATGCTTTTAAGGAAGGCTCTTCTCAGCGCTCCTGCATTTCATCAGCTCTCCCTCTCATGGAAACCCTAAATCACATATTTAAAAATAGACCATCAGATTATCTGGGTAAATCATAAAGCTCGGCTTATCTCTCTCTTCTCCTTCAAAATATACAATTTATTTTGTCCACCAGCTCAGCAGCGTGAAGCCATGAATAATCCTGTTTGTCTCAGTAACCCAACTCAGAGATTGTCCCTGTATATCTCTATTCTGTGCATGTATGTCACACCGAGGTGTGTGTGTCTGTGTGAGCATGGAAGGAGAAGACAGGAATTCACGGTTCTGGGCACAAAGGTGTACAATCCTGCTTATGCCAGTGTTTGTGCCCATGCCAGTTGCATGCGCCCTAGCATCACAACACAGCCTTACACAGTCATGGAGAATAATACTAGGATTCTGCAGAAGTACTTCAATTATGCATTAAATTGTTGTTTAACAACAATCTAGATCACAGAACCTGTGTGCTTCCCCTGAGGGCAGACATAATCAATGCATGTGAGGAAGGAGAGAAAAATTTTTCAATTTCTCTCTCCCAGTGGTTCAGAGGTACCACATAACAGAGCATTCAGTAGCAAACTCCGACTGTCAGCCCCAGCGTTTCCCATACGCTCATCTCCCCATCCTCCCCCTGCCAGTGCGGCCCATCAGGCCACGAGAGCCGGAGAAAGCCCTGCAGGGATATAAATAGCTCCTCGGGGGAGGAGGGGAGAGTGCAGCAGCACGTTTCCAAAGATACTTGCTGCAGAGGAAGGTTTTGCTGGATTGATTCAGAGGGGAAAGGGAACGGCTAGGAAGTTCACTGCCATAGCAGGTAATGACTGTGGAGAGGAGGCAGCAGCTGCCCTGGGGAAGCTGAAAGGGGAATGCCCCGCTTGCTGAGAGAGCAGCGATGTGGGGTTCCCGGTGTGAATGTCCCACTTATTTCAGACAGTGTCTTCAAATCCTCCCCGTAGATAGGGTGTGTACGAGCATGAAGGGTCCACGGCTGAGAAAGACAGCAAGGATACGAGCCAACTCCATGGAAGTATTATTACCACACGTAGCTTATTGTCTGTGCCAAGTTTGTACCAGGCCAAGCGGTGTTACTGATAACGGGCTGTATTGCACCGACTGTGCATGCGGTGCTCTGAACTTGCCCCAAGCGTGGGCACAGTATAGCTGGCTCCACTATTTTCCTTGGAGAGACAAAGCCTAGAGGTTCTGTCTCTCCAGAGCTGACCTATTTCCCTCCTGCCTCCCGAAAACTTTGGGGAACTATAGACACAGCCGCCCGAGGCACAGGTGCGCGATCGCCCTTTCCCCGCCGGCGACACCCCGGGCACTCCTCGGCCGCCGCCCCGGGCTGGGGGCGCGGGGGGGGGGCGCGCAGCCTCCCCGGCGCCCGGGCGCTCCACGTCTCTCTGCCCTCCCTCCCCCCGGCGGGTAGGCACCCCGCAGCCGTGCGGCGCTGCAGTGCCCAGCCCGGCCCGGCCCGGCCTCTCTCACCGTCCTCCAGAGCCGCTGCCTCTTGGCACTGACGGAGGTGGCGGTAACGATGAGGTGGGAGACGGACACCACCAGCCCGAAGACGATGGCCAGCAGAGTCCGGACGGGCAGCAGTGAGTAGGACACGAAGGTTACCAGCATGAGCTGCCACATGCCCTGCTCGGGGGCGCTGGGAGGCTCCATGCCGTAGGCGCCGAGCGAGAAGGGGCAGCAGAGGAAGGAGAAGGTGAAGCTGAAGAGCAAGGTGAGCTTGACGATCTGCTGCAGCTGAGTGACCTGCAGGTACTTGACATTCGTGACGATGAAGAGGGAGAGGAAGATGATGCAGTGTACTGGGTGCGAACCTTTGGAGATGGTCAGGCTGGGGCCGGAGAGCAGCTCCACCAGGGCCAGGCTGGCGGTGAGCACAATGAGGACGGCCAGCGCCTTAAGGGTGGACGTCTGCTCCAGCTTCAGGTTGTAGCTCTGGAAGAGAGCTTCCAGCTCCTTGCAGTCAAACTCGTCCTCGCAGGCGATGGCATCCAGCAGCACCAAGGGAGGGGGGTCTCCCAGCCCGGCTCCTGCTCCCGACGCCGCAGCAGCTGGCGGGGAGCAGCAGCAGTGGCAGCACTTCTTCCTCTTGGTCTTGACTTTCTGAAACGGTATTTCCTCCATGTCAGTGCCATTCATAAACCCGGGGGAAGAAAGCTCCTCCTGGTGTCCCCCGCTGCCGCTCCGCCGCCTCGCTGCTCATAAAAGAGGGGGAGGCTGCGCTCAGGAGCCCTCTGGCTACCGCGGGGCGCGGTCCCGGGATCACCCAGCCAGCCGCCGTCCGCAACCCGCCGCGCCGGCAAACGCCCCCTCCACTGCCACCCAGGAGCCGAGGGTGGCTGGGACGGCGGGAGGAGAGCCTCACTCGTGTAAATGTGCCAACCTTCCTGCCTGCTGTCTCGCTCTCCCCTCCACCCTCCTCCTCCTCCTACTCCTCCTCCCCTGGTGCTCCAGGGATGTTAATCTCCTAATGACACCAAAACACCATCCGAAGGTTTGGAATCAAACGGAAGTGGGGTGGGGGCAAAGGGTGGGTGGAAGCTCAGAGAAGGGGAGTGGGGGATAATCAACAGGCGGGTCTCCGTTCAAATAACGCTATTTGGAGGAGCGGGAGCTACAGAGAGAGGCTTACAAACGTGTTCCCCTGGGGCGGGCAACATTAAAAAAAAATAGCGACAAAATAAAAAAAAATAGTAACGAATCCCAGCCAGGGGTCTGGAGGAAAAGTGGCGCAGAGGGACCGGAAAGAAAACAGGAGGCAGGGAAAGGCAGGGCGATCCCCTTCCCACGTCCGAGAGCATCTCACCGGGGCTGGCAATTGCGGAGCGCCTGCGCGCCGCTCGCTTGGGAAGCCGGACACGTTCCCGCCGGGGCTCCGCAATTCGGGGTCGGCGGGGGGACCCGCCCGCCCCTGCGCAGCGCCTCGGCGTCCCCTGCCGGCGTCGGGCCCGCCGGCCCACCGGGTGCACCGGGCTTCGGCGGCTGGCTGACAGCCCTGACAGCTATTCATATACATATTTATATGTAAATGTACAAAATCTACATATGAAGACACAGAAATACATGTAAATATACATACATATGTGAATATATAAAAATACATATACATTTATAAATATAGGTGACTCCTGCTTCCTTTCAGAAATAAAGTCTTATCTGCATGAATAAATATTCTGATGTTAGTGGTTTTGTCTCCTAGACTCTGAAGCAGTTGGAAAAGGTGCAGTGAATGAGAAAAATTTCAAGAAAACACATTTCTGTGAGCACTTCTGCCTGTCTGGGAGTACAAATCAGTCAGTGGCTGTTGAAGGCTACTCCTGTGACAGGAGAAAAATATCACCCCCCACAAAATTGTACTTGATAGTGCTATCAAGAACTTGGGTGCATTGTTTTTGAAATAAAACCTCTAGTTCTGCCTATAATGTTGCTACCACATACCGCTATTACGAAGTTGCACCAAAGAATACACTACAATATATTTTTCTGTAACCATTGCATTTAATTTTGGCTTTGGATCAAGCATTTATAAAATTCAGGACTAGGAATATGTCAAAATAAAAGATTACAAATATTTAGCTTTTTAAAGGCGGTGCAGGAATATTTTCCAGAATCAAAGCAGAATCCTGCTATCTTGGGTAGGTTGAAGATCTAATAGCTGGGTTTTGTGTCAGTGATGTCAGGTTCTGGTTCCAGATTTGGGCTGAAAAGCCTTAAGATCGACAGTAGGCAGTGATTCTTTAAGATTTGTTATACCCGTGAATGATGTTGGTGTTTCACTTCTGGATAGTAAAGTAGCTTTTAAAAAGTGTAATCTAACGCAACATATTTTTCATATTAGTATTTTAGTATTTTAGATTAGTCCTAGCCCTACATAGTCAATATGCTGTCATTCTTTTGAATGTGAATAGGACTCATTAGGAAAAGGGAATGAATCAACATTGCTGGAATTTGTTACAGATTCAAAATATTCCACACTTGAGACAATGACTGTTACTCACTCTGTGTTCATGGGATGCAACTCATGGTGGTTTCGTAAACTGTGACAAACCGTCAAACACCACAGAACTGTAAAGATAGCTGATATTTAGACTTTCGTAACTTCCTTCAGGAAGAAAGTAAAGGAGTTGGATTTGCTGGCCTGAGTAGTAAAAACAGGATGCGTAGCTGAAGTGAAATTAATCTGACAAACAAACAAACAGAGGCTTCCTTTATTTTGCTATATCTCTAGTGTGTTTGGAAAGCTTAATAAAATTAATCTCTTTGTTCACTCTGGTGCATAAATTCACTTCAGTCATACATATATTAGACAAATACACACTGTTAGATTTTCACCTGTCCTCAGCTTTCTCTTGAGCTCATATATCCTGAGGGTTAAATTAATATTTCACATCTCACACTGCATAAGAGGTGGAACCTAGTTGCCCAGCCCTAGGGACTATCCACCGAAAGAATTATCATGCTAGCAGTTATCATTTCTTTCTTCTGGCTCTCAGCTTGCTACTGGGGAAATGGAGGGTAATTCCCTACAAGGCACCCTGCAGTTTAGATTATTTTCATGCTTCTTACAACCTCAGTCTGGGTTAGTTAGTACATGCATACAGCAGAGAAGGCTGATGTGTATGAGACTCATACGTCTCTATTTTTATCTGGTTGAGGGGAAGCAATGAACTGTTGAAGCTTCATCTTTCTTAGACACTGTAGCAGTATGGAAATGCCAAATAGTGATTAATGAAACTCTTCCATCCTTTATACACTGTTTCACATCGCAGGACAAGTACTTCGCCATATTCTACATAGTGAAAAGCCTCATTTTTAGCACTTGATGCTACAAATATAAAGAGGGAACCTCGGAACCTTTGTCTGAGACAGATATATTATTAAGGCAAATAACAAGCTATAACACTACTGAAATGCACTTGACACTACCATATTTTCTGACCAAGCTTATCTGCTGAAGATGACAGTAACTTGGTTGGGTTTTTTTGAACCATGAGCAACACTTCGGGTCTGTAGTGCACTTCTGCCTCATTTCTAAGGAAGATACAAGGTTGCTTTTGATATTTAATGCCCTCAAAGTTCTGGATGCTGGCCACATCCAAGTCAGCTCTTCCTATTGCATACTCTTGCATTTTTAATTAGAGACTAATCTGGAAATAAATGTAGTATTGTAAGGAAGGAGTGATTAGAGCCTAGCTTCATCATCTTGTGCATTGCAAAACACATCTGTTTTTCAGTCCTTTTTTTTAAGAGGCAGACTGTCTTCATTGTTTGAGTCACTGTAAGTGGAAAACAATTCTTCATGGAGAGTTGGGCAGTATATTGGGCTATGTTACACTAAGCAAAAGTCTCACTAATTTTGCCTGGATCACAGTAATAGTCTTGAATTACAGAGCTACTCAGAGTTTCAGAACACCTATTTTTACTTACTTTGAGTATGTAGGTCCTCCATTTAATAATTATTTTTCACTGTCCATTTTGTTTTACTTTACTGGACTCAGTACTTGGTTTTTTATCTTATCACCTCCAAGAGTTTCAAGCACTCACTAACTCCTGTGTTGGCTGGAGATCATCTTTAAAAGCAATACTTATCATAAAGCTAAAGCTCTTCAGATTCATGACAATTTTAAAATTAAGCATAAGGAAAACTTTGCATCAATAGAATTTTCTTCTTGTGGTGTTTTTTATCGGAGTAAGGATTGCACAGATTTCCCTCTTTTACCCATATTTAGTATCGCCTACCTGTAAAAGAATGCCATGCTTTATCATCTGAGACAGGGATAGAAATCTTTTTTCTTCTCACCATCTCTGACAGTAAGAGTAAGGACTCTGCATAAAGCTATTGAGAAATTTCTGCAGACTCATTCTAGCAGACACAGCTTGTTAATGCCACCACAGAAATGTATCTAGTGAGAGAAAGCAGGACAGAAGAGGTCCTGCAGAAAGTGGTAGGAATGGCCAGGTTTAAACATAAAAATTCAGCAGTGTTTTCCTTCTCTCATGGATGGCTGAAATAGATTCACCACTTTTTCTAGATTTTGAGGAAAAATTTGAAAAAAATGAAAGTATGTTTTTTTCCAAATCATGCACAGATTTCATTTGAAATCAATATGGGGACTCCATTCACAATATTATTTCAAGAAACGTAGACTAGATTTCTCTGAGACTACTGAAATACTATCTGAACAGGTCTCATAAGCATCATAATGACTGTTCCTTAAAATTATTTGTGATTTTAAAGTTTGATTTATATTACATGCATTCTCATGGGGAAGAAACGAAATAGACAGTTCTGATGCATACCACTTCCACAGTTAAACAACTTCAGCTGCAAGGCTGAATTCACCTAACTAGAGCATTTCTACTAGAGACCTGAAATAAACTTTGCCCACTAACAGTAAGTGAAAGCCTTACAAAACCTACAAGTTTAGTCATTAGGAAATAATAGCATCTAACCTCACCACTGTTCTCCAAAGTCACTTCTTGGTCTTACCTTTTCCTTTATGCTTCTTCGTACAAGAACCAGTTTTAGAAAACAGAAATGAGTCCTTCAAGAGTAAATTTAGGCTATAATACTAATCACTCAGTGACAAACCTGTGCCCTTGGTTCTGCTCAGGTCTAACAAGAACAGGTTTGTTTACTCAGTTTCAATTGGACTGCACGGTGTTTTTTTAACAGAGATTATTTTAGTCACAACTCTATCTGTATAGTAGTCTATCTAATTGTGTAATCTATTGGAAAAAAAAATTAGACCAGAAGAAAATTACATTAAGGCCTTGATCTCGAGTCAATTGTCAGACAAGACTGTTGCTGAAGCAATTAGGAGATTTGACCAAAAAATAAAATGGCTACAGTGGCTAATTTGACAGCAGAGAATGGGATGGGTTTTCTCCAGACCTCTGCAGAGCAGAGAGTATTGACATTAGGAGCATTTGAATCCTTTACCTCTCTCTTCTATTCTAAGCCTTCCAGGAGAGCATGAGACTTCTGTGACCTACTGAACTTCCATATTAATACTAATGAATCTCTTAAGCAAGCAAGCAATGTGCTTTTCTGCCAGCATGGATTTATAGCAGGTCAGCTGGATCCTTTCAGCTTTTAACCAGTCATTCATTTTCCCCATCAGTACTGCATCAACTCTGATTTGTCTGTTCTTCATCTAAATTTAGAGCTGTCTAATGAC